CTCATTCCTTTCTTCACTACTAACATCTCCATTACTAGTTGAATCATCATCTGAAGAACTTGAAGAACTTGAATAATCTCCTCCATCATCTTCTTTAATAATTTTCTTAATAACCTTCTTGCCTTTACTCTTTTTCACGACTTTTACCACTTCTTTTTCCTTCTCCTTCTTCTCTCTTTCTTCCTTAATTCTATTATTAGTAATAATGTCTGCCACTTCTTTTTCTCTTTGTAAATAATATTGTTGTTGATTATAGAATTGTTGTTGCCAATCCGCGTCTTCCTCATGATCAGAGGGTAATAATGGTTCCTGTTCCCTGAATCCAGTAAAGGCTGAAGGTGGAATTGGATCCTCAGAAGCAGGTGGTTCTTCACGTTGTTTTCCATGAATAGTTGATCCAGAGGAAGGTCCTGGAGGTGGTGGTGGTGGTAATATGTTAATAGAAGTAGAAACATCTGGAACATAAACTCTGCTTCCAGAAATTCGTGGAGTTCTTTTATAATGAGATGTTGGTGGTAATTCTAATTCCTCATCTCCATCATCCGCCACATCTTGATTATGCATTTGAATAACTGAAGACATAGCTTCTTTATATAATAAATTCTTTAAATAAGAACTAATTTTGATATATTTTTAAATGAGAATGAAAGATAATGTTTATGATTGATTTGAATAATTTTAATTTTAAAGATCTTCTGTTGATAACCATGTGAATAATTTTTATTGAATCTTGATGTAATATAATATAATTTGATTATAGATAATGATTAAAAGAGAAATTGATTTAATTATAAGTTGATTTTAATTTGTCAAGCCCGGGCAGAGTCACCAATATGTAGAACTTATAACCCAACAAGGGTTATACAGAGCTGGAAGAGGATAATCTACTAATAAAATGACTAGTAGAAGTTGTCTAAGGACTGCTCTTCTAAAACAACACAATCAGAAAGAGCTCTGTTGTATTGAGTACTGATAAGGCACCAGAGAAATATAACTTCACACGTAATTTTAACTTCAAAAGCACACTTTGTATTACTATCAACACTGCTATAGTGTTATTCCCAATTGATAACTGAAAAAAAATAAGCAATATCTGATTGATATTATTCCCAATAAGTCTTTATGACTATAAAACTAAAGTAAATTTCTCTTTATAACTGTAATAAAGGGCGTATTTAAGTGACCAGGTACTATTAAAATAAGTTTATAATGATAAACAAAATAATAATGGCGTAAATGATAAAGAAAAAAGGGGAACAACAGTCCCAAAACCCTCTCAAAGTATATATAACAATGTACTAGAACTTTTACAATGGTCAACAGCCTCAAAACCAATCAAACCCGCCCAAAATTCCCTAAAAACCCTATGATGACGCAATGTAATGATTTTGTTACTAATAAATGATGTAGTTTTCACAGCTAAACGTGATCAATGACGCAATAATATGATGTACAGCACTTCTTATGATGAAGACAGGTGATTTTTTCCTTGTAAACTAGCTGAAAACCAATTTTTGAGATTACGAATTTTTTCAGATATGCTCCAATTTTTGATTACTAAAGTGCATCTTGTAGCCCATGTGTTACTGATCATTTCTGACACCTACATGACCTACTTCTGATGAGTGATGAGTAAGATATTGAGTTGTGAAGTTAAGGTTTTTAGTGTTACATGTGACTTGTGACTGTAAATTCGAGATTCACACCAATTCTTTATTTGTCTTATACCTTTTTACATACACCTCCGTTACTAATGATTCAAAGTTTGTACATTATGTGATCCACTCTTCTGCGTTGAATGAGCCATCTACCAACCTATTCTGACGTCATTTGACATATGTAATTAGCTGAAAACCTCCATTTTCCACGAATTCCACCCATTTTCTTCACTTTTCACAGCTACTACTCTCTTTTTCTTGCTCATGTAATATGACATCATCATCTATAACCTTAAAAATCCCGGAAAATCCTCTTGGCAACCTTAAATTCCATCACTACCACTATTACACAACCAAACTACACGTGTACCTCTTGTTTACCAACTTCAAAAAAGTGCTTTTTTCCTAATAACTTCTGTTTCTACTTATCAACCTTGAAGATTAAAATTGTCATAGTATAATATAATGTTGTTCTTTCATATTCTAACCTCATAATACCCATAACTTTATTTTTACTAACCTAAAAACCATTTTCCAACCTTTGTACCTATAATTTCGAATTTTTCTTATGTTTTTCTTTCTTTCTTTTTGTAATAAATTTGTAAGTAAACTATAATGATCTTAATATATAATGTGAAATAAAATGATGTAATGTTGACCTAATGACCAATACATAAGCCTACAAGAGCTTCAATTGATCAAAAACCTCCATTTCGAATTTTCTTTCCTGCTGAATCCTGCTAATAAACTGGTAAACTGGTAATTGTGAATTTTTTAATTGATCCCATAAATTGATCACCACACCGTGCCCACCAAAACTTTTCCGGCTCATCCGCCAAAGATGTGGTATAAGGTATAAGTCCCTCTCTCGACTGCTCGTTTGTCCGCGAGGGACTTACTTAAGTTAGGGGGATTTCATTGTCAATGTTCAAGTTTGATTTTTTCACCTATTTTAATGGAATTTGTGTATGGCACTGTTCAAGATGAGACCCGGACCCGGATTCTGGCCGGATATCCGACGGACACTCCATCGGGTCCGGATGCCGGAAAGGCCTTCAAGATTGTCCGGTGGCCAGGTAATCCGGCCGGTTCGGTATTTGGAATGAGGGCAATGTTGGGCCGGTGCGTTGCTCTGAGTGAGCAACACACCGCAACGTTGAGCAACGGGGAAAACCCCGCAAAGCAACGCAAAGCACCGGGCCCGACCCTTACCCGGTGCATTGCTTGATGGGGTGTGAGTTTTCACCCTGTTGTGTTGCCATTGTGGAACCGTTGTGAGCAACGCAACTCTGCAACGGGGTTTACCAACCAAATAGGTTATAATACCCTGGACCCACGTCCCCCTGTGTTTGATCTCGGCTTTGGCGACTTCTAATCATCAACACCTCACACAAACAATCCCTGCCCCTTGCTCAAATGGCCCCGTCCAGCAGTGGATTCGACTTCTCAGCCGGATGCACAGAGCACCAATATGACTTCCTCCAAATGCACAGGGCGGACAAATTGCTCTCATCAAGTAGTTCAAGATCAGTATATGATCATCCCATCATTAGACAAACCTTCAATTGAACACATCTGCCCACTCTTCACTCAGCCAATTCTCATCCACAGCAAGCTTATAACATTTTTAACTCAACTCCTCTTTGGAATCATCACTTTACTTGCAATAATCACCATTATATTTTGCCTCTCGTAACTGCTTCACCTCCAATACTTGGACTTGATCTTACTTTTTCAAAAGCTGTTTACAGTTTTCACTCAAATCATAATCACTTCAATTCTCAATATTACTTTTCACTTGTATTGGTCCCACTCTCAATGGCTAGTACTGGCAGCACAGAATCCCAATCCGATGCCTTGTTAACTCAACGTACCAAACCTACCGTGTCAACCCCACTCCGTTTCTCAATCAGGCCACCTACACCTCGTAAAAGTCAACCAGGTATGCTTCAGCCTTCATCTGATAGCTGGATCACCCTTGCTCTCCCAAACGCAACCGTCACAAATCCTCCAGCTCGCAAAAAGAAAAACGTCAAGCATAACGGGCAATTGCCATCAAGTTCACAAACTGCCAGACTGAACAAGAAACCGAAAAAAGATCTTTCCAAGTCTTCCCAGGTGAGCAATCATCCCACTCAATCACGCTTCAGTTTTATTATCAAAGTAATACAATTTAACAAATTTTGTAATTTTGATTGATTTTTATAGCCGCCTCAAGACGGCCTACCATCTGAATCCGAAATGAATCAGGATTCAGATGATGGCCTCACCAATCGTCAGAAAGCAAAAAGATTGAAGGTTCTGGAGCACGACAAGACTGAAGAGCCTGATTACGCTCCTTACAGAGACTACTTTGGAGAACCTGAATACAAGCAGGACGAGGTGAGAGAGAAATCTGTCTTCCAACATTGTCAAAACATTTTACTTACTCTTTTTATGTTTAACAGCCAAAGGTTGGGAAACCTTTAGGTTATCCATGTCTTTGGTGTAAAACAATAGTACGAGTGGTTCCAGATTCCCTGAACAATCTCAAGATCCATCGTGATGGATACAACAAAGGTGGAAATCAATTCCCATGTAAAGAACATCAAAAACAATTGACAGTGGTATCCTACTTCCTCCAACAGTTTTTGATCAAGTCACTTCAACAGGTCAAAAACAAACGTCCGACTTCTTTGACAGCAAGCTCCCGTTCAAAAACATTGTACTCAACCAGATACTCGCAGTTTGGATACTTGCTGAAGCCTTACCCTGGAATCAAATTGAAGACACACTTTTACAACTTGCTTTCCGATATGCTCGGCAAGATTGCAAGATTTTTGGACGTACTTGGGTGGCCCGAGAAGCTGCTGGCATGTATACATCCTTTCAAGACACCGTTTTGAAAGAAATTATAGTGAGTTTGATATTGATCATTATTGTTTTTGGTATTGATCAAGATTATTTTGATTATGACACACTGACCTCAACATATCTTGCATCCAACAGACCAACAAAGGTAAATTTACGTTGATCCACGACGGCTGGACGACTCACAACAACATCCACATGTTCTTAGGAGCAGCTGTCACCTTCATCAACGCTGATTGGAAATACCAGGTCCGCCATCTGACATTGAAATTGATAGCTTGGCATCACAAGGGCGTGTGGCTTGCTCAACCATTAGTGCACTTCATGAAGAAGCACAATCTGCAATATAAGATAAGTTCATATCTTTTCAATATCTACATTATTATGATTTCTCACTTACATTACATGTCAAATATCTACATGCTTGCGCAGGTGACCGATTCTGTGTCAAACAATGTTACCATGGCCAAAGAAATGCATATGCAATTCTTGATGCATGAAGAAAGCAAAGAGACCATAGACGATATCACCAAAGAAAACCCGGCCTCCCTTCAAAAGTACACTTGGGATACCAGTACTGATTACGCCCGATGCTTTCTCCACAAAGTGACATCTACTGTCAAGGGAGGTTTGGAGGAGCTTGGTCGGCCAGCACCTTCGCGCGCTCGGGAAAGCGAAGGATTACTTGGAGTTTTTCCATTTTCAGGCACTTTACCTGTCATCGCCGAGGATGATGAAGACGCTTTGGAGAACACAACTATTGTGATTGACGACGACAATGACAACAATGTCAACATCCTTCCAGTACCTGAAGAGGCCAATACGGATCATGATTCAGCAGATGAAAAAGATCTTGAAGTCGCTCCAGACTACGATGAAGAAAATGAAAATCAGCTGGATTAGAATACGGAGGCTGAGGTACCTTTTGAGCTCAACATCTCAAAAGGTAATATGTATCACACAAGCGCTTCGCGGAAACAAGCTAATTTATTGAATGCTCTGATTAGTAAGGTAAATCTTGTCTGTCCTTTGGACTTTGTGTTCTCAGACTCTGACTGTGTGTTTAAAAGGCCAACTTCATCTCATGACGTGTGGCATGTTCGGCGGCGTGGCGTCGTCATTTCACAAGGATTGCCAAAAGCATGAACTTGAAGCTTTTGCTGCTCACTCCCGGATACAACACCACTTGATGGAACACTGAGTTTGATTCACTCAATCGTTTAGTCCAGGCACGAAAGGTGGGTCTCAAAAACATGTCAAGCAGTTAGAATCTTCTCTGCTGATTGTTTGTTTTGATTCAATTCCACAGGTTGTTAACAAGCTTTTAGCAGATGACCTCGAGCTTGTCAATTCAAAGAAATATTGCAGGGGCACCCAAAAGCCACGTGGATATTTCCACAAGATTTTTATCACTCCTGATGACTGGAGTCAACTTGAGGAGTTGACCAACAAACTTGCTGTACGTTTTTTATGATCTTTATGTATGTTATTTCAAATGAAAAACCAACTTGATCCTATTTATTTATTTCTTTCCACAGCCATTCTTAGAACTAACGAAACACATGGAGGGCGACAGACCCACTGGTTGCTTAGTGTTTCCCGAATTCTACGCACTCAAGGTCCATCTTGCGTCCCGAGTGGAAGAACTCTGTATGGGTGATGCACTTCTGCCCATGCTTCATTCGATGCAAGTACGGGTTGACAGATACTTCGAAGAAGCCTTGCAGTGCGACACCACTGTAATGGCAACTATTTTGAACCCATTCTTCCGACTACAGTTCTTTGAAAGAGCGTTCGGTTTGGATCACGAAGTTACTGTTCGAGCACGCAAGCTCCTTCAAGGAAAATTTGATACTCCCAAGCTGGAGACGCAGACTCAGGACGCCCCTATCACTCAACCAGCTTCACCAACAAACCAGCCTCAATCTCATGACCTCTTTCAACTTTTCATAGCTCAAGGCACTGAGGTTGAGTCCAACGAAATCGCAGCTTACCTCAAAGGAACTCATCCAATGTCTGTAAAAGATGATGCACGAGACACTAAGGCTGTTTTGCCGTGGTGGAAGGTATTTTTAATTTCATTTCTAATTTTATTTTTGTCTTTTCTGATTGTGTAAATAAGACACTGACGAAATTCATCAACATGTGAACTGTGTTGCATTTCCCATACTGGCTTCTCTGGCTCAAGACTACTTAAGTTTATCGGCGAGCTTGGCAATAGTGGAGCAAACATTTTCAGCAGCAGCTGACATCTGCTCTTTGGACCGGGTGCGCCTGGTACCACGTACCATCGAATGCTGTGTAGGTTCACGCCTATATTGGCGTCAAGGTGTACCTTTAGTGCACCAGTACTCAGAGGTCAATGATGCTATTGAGTCTTTCAGCGGTAGAAAAGCTGGAAAAAGGGTGTGATATATTTCTTTTTTTCAGATTTGATTGTGTTCCTTTTACACTTGTCACTATGTATGCCCGACCTTTTTTTTCTTCTTATGCTATATTCTTCTTTCTGTTTGCTATGTCCCATTGTGCAATTCCCAATGGTTTGCTTTATGAATGAATGACATGCTAGAAGTGCACGCAACGGGCGCAACGAGGTGTGCAACGTGAGCAACACCCCGGTGTGTTGCCAGCAACACAACAGGATTTGCAATTGCCCGTTGCGTTGTGAGGTTTCACATGAGATTTCAATACGTTGCGTTGCGCGCAACAGCCGGTTGCTCACAACGCAATGCAACGGCCCAACGTTGATGTAGGCCGTCGACATATTGAAGAATTTTGTCTTCTTCTGACTTCCTGACATGCAAACTTAAAGCTTCAAATTTCAAGTTATAATCCACAGTTGACATCTTGCCTTGTTTACAAGCATCCAGTTCTTCACGCGAGGTCTTGTCTGAATGTTTGTCGCCAAATTTGTAAATCAACTCATCAAAAAAATTCAAAAGACTTGATAATTCTGGTAAAAGGTAGTCAAGACTTTTCAAATTCCCATATGGATTCCTGATGCCTTGATGAAACACATTCCTTTCCAACAATCCCATGAACCATATTTGCGTGGTTGATGGAGTCGAATTGAGCAAATTGAAATGTCTGGCAATCCAATTAATTTTCATTTTATCATCAGCCAAAGTAATTTGATCTAGTTCATCATGTATTTCAACCAAGAATTGTTTGAGTCCTTTGTTGTCACCAAAGAATCTCAAATTATCATGTATCTTTGGGGCTCAATTATTGGTTATCACATTGACGGTTCGGGCTCTTGACGCTGGCCTCTGGAAAGGAACATTCGGCATATGATGAGGGGCTGGTTGCTGCAGAGGTACCTGGTGAAGATTTGGCGCGTGATTCATAGGCATTGGTTGTGGTTGAACTTGTTGTTGGGTGTGTTGAGGCAGCGGAGGATAATGTGTCTGAGGATGAGTTTGACCAAATTGAGGCTGGAAATGAGTTTGCGGAGTTGGAATGAATGTTTGAGTAAAATGGTGAGGGGGTCTTTGAAAAAACGGAGCTTGTTGCAAATTTTGAGGGCAAAAAGATTACGCTCCTGCAGACATCTGAGGGACATGAGTCATCTGCGGTTGTTGGTGCAGTGGGTAACCTGCTTGATGTACAAAACATCAAGTGTAAGTTCCAGCATCCAAATTATGTAGACCTTGTGTCAATCGAGAAACAGGAGTTTGAGAGTGGGCAAGACATTGAGGGACAAGATGATGAGGACAAGGAGAATCAAGAGTAATGGCATTTGGGTCCAAAATCTCACTGCTTGGAACCTGATGCAGCGGATTATCTCTGCCAAAAACTGACAAAATTGCGGGACTTGTCCTTTCTTCTCTCCAAGGATTCATGTTTTTCTTTATCAAGAATTTGGAAAAAATGAATTGAATCGATCCAACAAAGAAGAAGGGGTTGACCACCTATCTCTAGGTGAGAGATTTGGGGAAAGATTCGGTGATTGAACTGCTTGAATTGGTGTCAGTCTTGGTAAAGAATCCAAGGAAGTTGGAGGAGTGCGATTAGTGTCTTGATAGCGCGTCAATCTTTCCCAGTAAAGTCGATTGTATTCTTCTCCTTCAAGGAATAATAGGTGATTGAGAGCTTGGAGAGTAAGAGGGTGGGGTGTGAAACAATTTGAAAAAGGATTTTCTTCTGGAAATTGAAAGTAGAGTAAATCTCTAAAAGTCGCGAACAAATCTTGTGCTGAAGAATTTAAAAACGGGCTTTCTGTTGGGTAGTTGAAGTAAGGTAACTCTTCCAATGAAAGTAATAAATCTTGAGGCAAGAAATGAATTGATGCGAGAACGTGGGAATCCCAAGATGAAAAGTCCAGAAAAATATATGCTCCAGTTAAATCAATGCCACCGAATGACATAAAAGGGAAGGAGCTTCCTTGAAAAAATTTTGTTTTCACGACCCAAAAAATAAGATCAGAATAAAGATGTGATGATCAGGGTTGTAGCTGAAACTCAACAAGCTTCACTACTACGTCTCAATCGGAAAATATTAAATCGAGAAGGCTTAAACAAAGCTCTTCCAAAAGGCGTCTCAAATCAGAGAAGTATTTAATAAAGAATACACGACTAGAGTCGTTTTCTGTAGTGTTCACGAGAGAAGGGAAAGTAAAGAAGATAATCATTCTGATAAGGAAAACAGCAGAAAAGATCGAAACCAAGTACATGATTATATAGTTTAACAAAAGTTATGTAATACCACAAAATGTCCTTGTTCCTGAACCTGAATATACATCACATAATCACTACGTCATTTTTAAATCTCATGTTACAAAAATAACCGTTAAGACTTAAGATCCTTGATCCGTTGTTCCTTGTTTGTCCAGTACAGTTCCTGAACTGAAGTGCGATCATGACACTAGGCCAGCCCTAATACAGTATTTGAAACACAACTACATATGTCACTAGCCCAGTCCCTTGCCATCTGTACCTAATTACCAGCTAGTCACTCACACACTACTAAGATATTGTAATTCAGCCTAGCCATTATAATGGCCCTGGCATTATATCTCTGTTATATAAATTGTTCACCATTTTGTTAGAAACAATTCTTACTTTATAAAAACCCTTATTGCTTTTATCTCATATCACAATAAATCTTTTTATAAAAGAATTACTTCTTAAAAACTCTTTTTTCTGATCCCAACCCCTTTGAATCCCACCTTCAAAGCATTAAAGCCCGTCCCACCTTTTAACCCGATACTTCCCCAGATCTCTTAAAAGCCTTGACGCACTCCTTTCCCTTTGAACCCGAAGTCTTCGGGTCTTTTCTGTCTTGAATCTTTTTCCTAGGACCTTGATTCTTAAGGACCTATTATACTTACGTGGGTTATTGACAAACCCCGTTAGAGCATCCACAGCCGTGCCGTAAATTCGTATCGTACAGAGCGCTGCACAGATTGTTTAGGCAAGTGTTTGAGGCATAAATTTCGAACAATGCACAGCCGTGGTGCCTTACAGTACGGCTTGTAGCATATTTTGTGAAGTAAGTTATGGGTTAGTTGATCATCAAGGGAGATATTCTGCAGGGAGTGCGGTCGTGGAAGTGGGAGTTATGGGAGAAGCGAGGTACAGATGAATTTAGGGAGCAAGCCAAAATAGAACATATTTGGCCTATTTTGGCTCGCACGGAGGGAATTCCCTTAGCTACGTGAAAATTTAGGGCATCGGCTGTGAATGATTTTGCCCTGAACTTCCGTACAACATGGTTTACGCCACACGGCTGTGGATGCTCTTACAACCGCCCCTTAGAGCATCCCCAGCCGTGCCGTAAATCTGTAACGTACGGAGGGTCGCACAGATTGTTTAGGGCAGGGTTTGAGGTATGAATTTCAAACGATGTACAGCCGTGGTTCCCTACAGTACGGTTTGTAGCATAATAGGGGAGATGTATTATGGATTAGTTGATCATTGAGGTGTGTGATTTGCGGAGAGTTGGATCGTAGAAGTCGGATTTTATGGGAGAAGTGAGGTACAGAGGGATTTGGGGTGCGAGCGGAAAAAGACCATATTTGGCCTATTTCAACTCGCACGTAGAGAATTGCCCAAGCTAAGTATGTGTTTGGGGGTAACGGCTGTGGATAAAAATACCCCAAATCTACGTACGGCACGGTTTACGGCACGCGGCTGGGGATGCTCTTAGGGCCTTGTTGTTTCTTCCTGCAATTACATAATTCGAGTCAGACCCCTCGGGGCCGCCCTGCGTTATTTTAAGCAGTCTTTCAAAAAAACAACCCCATCCTGTACCAAAGACTACGTGCCGATATTATTCCTTCATGATCTTGGCAATTCAATCAGATTAGGACTTAGTAATTCCGATTGAAGTACATATGTCTTTAGAGGGGTTGATTGAGGTGAAGTCTAAGACTTCTTTAAAGTGAAACCCATCGATTTACTTTACTTGGTATGACTAAGCCTATACGCTGAAGTCAGTCCTATTAAATTCTTGCTATCACGAAACTTACCTTTCATCAAGCTCGATCAAATTTCTCGGAACAAGGCATTTACCGGTGTCCACTTGCGGTAATTCAGTTTTCGCATGATTCGAATCCTAACTCCACTCCTGCCTCATGTCAAGACAAATGGAGACGTGAATTTTTAGTCCGTAAAACTTTGGCCGGATACTTGAAACTCAAACTTAAAGCTAAAGTAACATTTTCAAAATGGTGCAGCAGTCAAGTCAATCCTAAGGCTGATACACAAAGGATGACTGTTAGATGAGCCGAGGTCCAGGATGAGCAATATAAAAGGGACACCGACTTCACTGGTTCCTTCCATCAACCAAACCTCTTCAACAATATCATCTTACACTCTCATTTTTTCACTGAGCCACACACACAGGCAAACCAAATTTTCATATATCTACCATGATGAACAAATTTTCACTTCTAGCTACATTCATTACTATCTTTTTGGCTGCTTTCAGTCGAGCCTTTTCGTTTTCGGAAAGTTTAGAGACTCTATCTGGTCATAATACGGCATGTGAGTGCTATGATCTTCACAGCCCGACCAATCGATAGATTAAATTCTTATCATTCTTTACTTGATCTAGTGTGGCAAGACGGAGCAAAAGACGCCGTAGGTAACTTCTTCGATGCGGTGGATGAAGGCAACATAGAGAATCTTCAAAAGACAATCTCGAACCCAAAGGCCGCTGTCTTCAGTTTTAACGGCCGGGAACTCAAGGGAGAAGGTGCGCCAGGTGTTTTTCACGACATAAACGGAATACATTTTTAGTTATCAGATTCACTGACGCTCTGAATTTGTAGCTATCATCCATGCATTCCACGACGCAGCAGTCAAGAGTGGCAATACGTTCGAGAAACAAATCACTGCAGGTAAGCCCCAAGATTGATAATTGATATATGCCTTCTCTCAATGCTCTTATACTTTCCATAAGGTTCATATATCTTTTTAAAGAAAGATTGAAATTCTAATGATTTGAAAAAAATATCTTTGTTTCTGATCTACAGTGAAGTGCTTCAAAAATGAAGATAATCAAATTCAAGTTAACGTGGAGGGATTAGTTTCCAAGAACGGAGGACCAGGAGAAGCATACAAAGCTACTCTGATTATCAAAGATAAGAAAGTGGAAACATTGAAAAGTGTCTTGGGTTCAACTTCGGCTTAAAGGCCTTTACATTCGAGTTTTGATTTTTTTCTCATTTTCTGAAACTCAAGCAAAACTCAAAATAAATTGAATGTATCTCTTTCTCGTCTTTTTTTTCTTTCTTTGTCTCATATTTTTCTACTAAAAAGGCTTTTTGTAAAATCCAGACGGTTTGATAGAGGATTTCATCTTTGTAGGCTCATGAGTTATCTTCTCAAATAGTTAAATCATATTTTTAAATCAAGCTTATGTTCAATACAAAGACACAAAAAAATTCTTTCTTTTCAAAAAAAATTATGCGCGCCACTTTCAGATAAATTTGATCTAACTACTTTAGATCCAAATCCACTGAGATGTCTTTAAAATCAAAGTGAGTAGACCCTAAACGGCATTCGAAAGACCCATTTTTTAATACTACGGTTGTGACAATTTCACCCTTGACATTTTTACCGTGAGGCGTGCCCATTAGACCGCCATCAAACCATATCTTCCTTGATTTCTGATCAATTCATCAATGACATATGTGGTAGAAACTTTACATATCCATGGTAAAGAGTAGTATGAAGTAGTCATGATGACACACTTCCATTCACTCTCTCTTGGTAATTTTACTATGAGGTTCCTCTATTTCATACTTCAGTACCACACTTCAGAACATGTTTGTTTATCCTTAAGCTCATCCTGAATAAAGGAAAAGTACTTTGTGAGGAATGTCCTATTGAATTTATCTACTATACTCATCAAATCATTAATTGATTTCTACTACCAAAATCCTGGCCTGATGATGATCAAAATATCGAATATGTAGCTTCAAAAAGTATGGGACAAGATCTTAGATCATGAGTGTTCCAGAAATCACTTTGCCATAAGAATGAAATAGTGATGAAAGATCATAAATGACGTTTAGCAGTTCATTCTTGTTTTTTTTTGTGCACAGAAAAAGCTTCCTTTTCTGCCTCTTTTTTCCAACCTATAGATCTTCAAGAAGACAAGATGAAAAGTTCTTTGGAGTTTACATCAATCAATCAGTCAGCTTAATCAAGACATTCTAAAAGGAACTTATAAACTGATTGACTTCATGGTATAAACAGTCTAGTAGCATGACATTGGAAGTGTAATCTTTTGAGAATTTTCAGTTAAAACACATGACTAGGGTAAATATTAAAGTGTGCAAAAAGCATCATTGATTTCAATCAGAATTAAAAATACTCTGGTTACCATGAGTCTGAGGGAAGTGGAAGAGTGTTTGTGTGATTGAAACCAAAGGTTGATAACCTGAAATGCATGATGAGGGTGACTTGTTGGCCGGGCATCTCCCCAGAACCATTCCACAGCACTGAACAGAGATCAAAGTTTAAGATGAAGTACTAACCCAAAGCTTTCATGTCTTCATAGCTATTCCAAGTTTGTTGATGATATAATACTGTGCCCTCACTTCTTTATAGTTCCTAGGCAGGTATGATCATCAATGTGGACCATTAGATGTTGATTGGACAGGACAGGTTGAGAGTATATCATTATGCAGGTGAAGGTGAAGAGAGATTGGATGTGTCTGAGGTCAATAATAATTGTGGAGCTGAGATTAGTAAATATAAAGATGGTAAGCTTTAGGCTAGGTGTAAGGTAAGGAATAATATATTGTTCAAGAGTTTTCAACATTTCTATTTTACTGATTTGATGAGAATTGATCAACAAAATGACTCTAGACACTAGACATTAGAAACAGAAAGAATTATGGTATTCAAACCTCAAAATTAATTCGTGCAAGTTTTGGTACAAGTTCTCTGTGGAAGATATGAATAGAACTTGCACGGATCTTGCACAAAACTTGCAAGAGTTGGTCTTCCACGGTTTTTGCACGGTTTGGAACAGTACAATAACTCGGGTTGTCAAAAAAATTAATGTGCAAGATTGGTGCAAAAAATCTTGCACAGATCTTGCACGTTGGTCTTGCACAGTTCTCGCACAGGTTTGAACACCCTAAATGTACAAAAGATGATTGAAAAGATGGTATGTAGACTAACATGACATGTAGAACCTTGCATAAATGATTCATTACATATGACATAGATTGATGAATGACCACTTTACCCTCAAAGTAGGAATACTCTAAAGATCAACATATCATCAGATCATTCACATTGTTGGTTTAAATTGAAGATGGGGCCTTGAGTGAGAGACTTGGGGTTGCTTATGACTTCTTTAAACCCATGAATGATTCACGTGACTTGGTATGGATATAGAGAGAGTTGAGTAGATAATTTAGGGATTAAGTGATTAAGTAGTTTAGTAGATATGGTGATATTACGTAAAATGATGAGTGAATGTTCTAATTTCTAAATCGTGTTGAAGATCATTCTGATTTCCATGAAGGTTGAAACTGATTTGATAAAAGAAAGAAAGAAAGAAACTCAAATCAATGCAACCATCCATCAATGGTCTTTGAAAATCAAACATGAAAAATATTATACTGTAAACCAAACAAACCAACCAACCAAGAAAGATAGATAGATTGGATTGATCAAGAAACCAGCTATTCAAGATCAAGAAACGAATTCGAGTGATAATCCAACAAACTTAAATAAACAAGAAATTGAATTAAATCAAGACTACATAGATAGATGAAAGTGATCAAAGGTTTGTAAAAGCTAAAGTAAAGGTAAGTTGGTTTGATTGATTTGATTGGTTAAATGAAAAGGACAAAAGAAACTAACGGTTAAAACGGTTTATTATTTAATATCAGAATCATGTCAACAACATCAACACCCACTTCAACTTCAACTTCAACTTCAATCGATCCATTCAATTCATCTCAACATCCTAATCCAAGAAGAAATTCGATTTGTAAATCTACTTTACCTATCAATCCTATTACCAACACTATCATCAAATCTAAACCACCAAGACATTCGATTCATCAAATCATTAACTCAAATCCAATTCAACCATCATCAACTACAAAACCAAGTTCACCATCTAAACCATCAAATCATTATTCCAACGGATTTTTAAATTCATCTACTTCTTCTACCACCACTTCTCTTACCTTACATCATAATTCATCTCCTGCTTCAATCTCATTTGATAAACCTTCTACAATCTCATTCTTATCAGATTTGATTTCCAACAACGATTCGATTTCCTCACCAACCCATCCACTCAAACTCAATCGATACACTCTAAGTTCTTCTACTTCTACTCCTCTTAACTCTTCATCCAACACTATGCCCAGTTCACCGATCACCAGTACAAGTAATTCGAATTCCACTTCCACGAACTCTTCAAACCTATCAAACCCTCATATCTCTACATCTAGCACCACTCCTACTCCAAACACTTCATTGACAACTAGTACCAGAGCAGGTCCTTCACGTTCGAATACCTTGACCGTCCCATTGAACCATGCATCCAACTCGATCAATAATCCAAGGAACGGTAGAGGACTTCGCTCTTCTGATGCACCTAACAATCAATCACTTCAATCTTCTTCTTCTTCTTCACAATCACCACAACCACCTCAACAAGTACCCACCTCGCCTTCTCCCTCCAGAGGAGAACCTAGCAACGGCGCGATCTCGACAAACCCTCAAACAGGTCAATTAGAAGCTAAAGTAGTGATCTTAGGAATGCAAGGTAATCCTTAAACTGTCATCTACCCAAAGACCACTTGATTGATTTTTCATTTTCCTTGGGATTCCATAGGAGTAGGAAAAACTTCAATTGTACATCGCTATACGACCGGTTCATTTAGTTATTCATTAGCATCTACCATTGGTGCATCCTTTTGTACTAAGAAACTATCAGTGGATGGATGTAAAGTGAGATTACAAATCTGGGATACAGCAGGACAAGAACGTAAGAGTTTTCCATGACCTAAATCACCCCAAAAGAAAACCAAGAACATTAAATTGATGTGGTTTTTGGTTTTGGGTTTGGTTGTTTTTGGGGCGTGTAGGGTTTAGAAGTATGGCTCCTATGTATTATAGAGGTGCAAATGCTGCGATTCTAGTTTACGATATCACCAACCAATCATCATTCGAAGATATCCAAAACTGGCTCCACGGTACCCATTCCCATCCTCTCCTGCACATCTCCTTCAACCTAATCTAACATTTTTGTTTGATATTTGGATGAAATAGAATTAAGTGCGAATATGAGTCCAGAACTAGTGATTCAGATTGTAGGATCTAAAGCTGATTTAGCAACCGATAAAAGATCAGTGGAATTAGAAGTAGCTTACCAACAAATTCTCGAATGGACCGAATCTTTTCCGTTCACGAACCATGCTCAAAGTAATTCTAGAGGAGAAGTGGGTCATAGTTGGCCAGATTTGGCGATCACTGAGGTTTCGGCTAAAGACGATTTCGGTCGGTTCTCTTTTTCTCTTATTGATTTCTTGATGGATAAATTGATCCTTTGTTTTCTTTTTTTTTTGGTTTTTTTTAGGTATAGAAGATATGTTTTTAGTCGTCACAAGAAGATTGGTGATGAGAAAAGCAGAAATTGAAGAAATCAGATTAAGGAAATCAAGAGAATCTGTCTTGATCGAACCTAGAAACTTAAATCAATCTAATTCAAATCATCATGACCGAAATCAGAATGGAACTGGTTGGTGTTGTTAAAAAAACTTGTTTTTTTTGATAAGCTTTTTTTTATGAAAGATGAAGGTTTTTTTGAAAGATGAAGGTTTTTGGAGGTGGGGGTTTTTTGAGGTGGGGTTTCTTTAAGGTGTTGAAAGTTGGGTTGCGGATCCGGTGGGTTGTTTTGAAAGGCTTTCTTTTTTCTTTTTGGTTTTTTTTTCTAAAGGTTTCATAGATTTTTTTTCTTTCTTATATGAAATGGAATTTTCTTTACTTTTTTACTTTTTCTTTTGTGCTTTTGTGCTTTTCTTTTTTTTGAAAATGGTGGTTTTGTATGTATCTTCAGTTTTTTTTTTCTTTTGCAGTACTTTTTTTAATTTATTTTTGTGTGTTTGTGTGTTTGTTTGTTTAGCTTTTAGTTGTTCTTTCTTTTTTTTTAGTTTTTTTTTTAATTTTTCTTTTTACTTTTTTTCTTTTTTTCTTATTTTCTTATTTTGGTCTTCAAGGATGGATTTCTTTTTCTTTAATGAAATGTGTGTGTGTGTGTTTGAATGAATGGAATATTATACAAAAGGAAAAACAAGAGGGTTTTAAAGAAGGGACAAATTTTAATTTGTGATTACGTTTTTTGAATGATGAAGATGATGATGAAAAGAAGGTAATGGAAAGTATACTTGTTTGCTGGAAAAAGGTTTTTGTTTCCAGGGACTTATGCATATAGTAAAAGAAATTGTATGAGATTGGTTGGAGAAATTTTCCCAAGACCCAGTCTTATCATAAAACTTTTTTAACAATTTAAAAATGTCCTCATCTCAATGACAAAAAACATACCAACTTAAAAGTGATTTTCACATTGAAGAATTGATGACATTATGATTTAGAGCAACAAAAATATATCTGCCTATTCTACAGGTATCCCTTGATAGCGGGTTACTCACTTGTCTTCAAGTAGAGGCACATTTACGGGATACAAAGTAGAAGCCGGGCACGTGCCCGGATTCTACTTTGTATCCCGCAATTATATGTGTATAAGGCCGCGTTCACTTAAGCGAATTATTGCGAAAATTCACATTCTTGAATGTCAAGAATTCGCATTCTGTGAAATGCGTTTGATATGTTAATTACAAGCATTCTGTAATGTGCAGAATTCTTGTAAAATGTGACTCGTGAGTCAATTTCACAGAATTCACTTTTATCGAATTTTTCTTTTCATAAATCACATTTCGACTTTTTCGTAAACCTTTCTTGAAATCTACAAGTCCCCTTCCACCGTACGGAACCTCTACAAATCCATCATTCACCATCTTCATCAAAACCCATCACCGTTCTCACTTCAAAACCATCGTCTTCCTTCGTATTCCTTCATCTTCTGTCGACTCCACTCTCAATACATCATGGCTCCATCCGATTCTGAATCCGAAGAAATTCAAATTACAAACTCGAAATCAAAAAGTAAATCAAAAAGTAAACCAAAAGCGAAACCAAAAGCGAAACCAAACAAGTCGACTAAAGTTAAAGATAACAAAAAAGATCAAGTCAAAGATAAGAAGGACGATAAGAAGGACGATAAGAAGGAAGAAGAAGTAGAAGATAAAGACACATCTGGTGACTCATGGAATCATAAGGAAACACTTTACCTCATCGACGAAATTAAACATCAAATGGATATTGGTAGAGGTAATGATGGTGGCCTCAAGACCGAGGGTTGGAAAGCTGTTTTAGAAAGCTTCAACCTCAAATTCAAAAATAACGCATCTTTGAGACGATTAAAGAATCATTTTCAAAGGGTCAGTTTCATTTCATTTCATTTCTTTCTTTCAATCATTTCAACTTGGCTGACTGTCTTTATGGTTTATTTCATTTGTACACAGTTAAAGAAAACTCTCAAGGCTTTCGACAAGATTATTGAGTCTTCCGGCGCTCCTGGAACCGATACAGTAACCGGCGAGGTCAGTGCTGATAAGGATTGGTGGTTTAACTGGATTGAAAAGGTAAGTGACTTTCAATCAACTATAATATATGTAGATGGTTGATTCAGGTGAAGAAATACAATCTTTACGTAATAGGAAGGCAATGGTGATGCCAAACCGATTCGACACAGCGGTTTTCCAGCCTATAAAGCTGTAGAAACAATCATGCCTCCAAAGAAACTTTGAGCTAATGGTAACGACGGGTATGGAACTCAAAGTAAAAAGAAGAAGCTAGTCGAGTTACCTGATGATGAAGATGAGGAAAACGAAGAGGAGGAAGATGAAGATGAGAACAAAGACGAGAACAAAGATGGTAAGTTTGATGATCTTCTCTTCTTTGTTGGCTACAGTAGTTGATACTGACAGATACATCTTCACCTATTGTATTTTGATGAAGGTTCAAATGAAGGACATGATCAATCTCAATCTCAATCTCACATATCTGAATCAAATAAGGACAAGGAATCCGATTTTGGTGATATTGAAGGTACAGGTCCTCCACCTCCTTCACAAAAGAAGAAGAGGACCACTAGAATTGTAAGATACATATTCTTTTTGATCTATTTGTTTGTTTCTTTCTTTGTATGTTTCTAATCTTTCTTTTTATATTATTTTCTTCTTTCCATTTCTTGTTCTATTCCTTTCAACAAGTCTCGATCTCGAAACGATGGTCTCACAGCGGCTGAAGCTGCCCTCGACAACAGTGACAGTGACGAGGACGACAGCCCAGAAAGACGATTTGTCCGAAGTAAAAGAAGCCCAATTGGACCCTCCGCTCCAAATTCCAAGTGTTCTCGAACTTCCGGACCTAAGATAGTAGCAGAATCGATCGGCAAAGCGGCTGCGATGGTTTTGGAACATGAGGAGAAAAACGAAAGTGATAAGGTGGCTGTTGCCAAAATAAAAAGTGAACAACACCCGATGCGAAAAGAAGCCATGGCGATCTTCAACAAGGAATTCCTCAAAAACCTCAAGCCTGAACACATTATTACAGCAGCAAATGAATTGAAAAAGGATGATACAGCATCCTTTTTCTACCATATGGATAAGAAGTATCGCTGGGAATGGTTGAAGAGTGAAGCACATATATTAGATCAGTATCAAGATAAAGATGGAGATAAAGATGCAGATAAAGAATGAATATCAACCACTTCATTATCTTATTTTTTTATTTTATATGTTTTATTTTTTCATTTATCAATCTCACTTTTTCATTTCATCCTTTGTATCTTACAAAATAAAAATTACAGTATCCATATGTATCTTACAAAGTAAAGCATATATAGTATAAAGTAATACATATACAAAGATGATTTGATTGTACTTTTGCTAACTAAAATAACAAGCCACAACTAGTTTCCATATGAGTGTTCAAAGGATTAAGCTTGCCTACGCGCCACTGGTGCATTAATAAAATCATGGAACATCTGCTCGGCGAGGTTGTCCCTTTGTTCGGATGCTTGAGTGCGTTGGTTTGGATTGGGCTCAACCCAATCTGGTTCACCATTATCATCCGCCGTCCTCCTTTCCAAGCGCTCCTTCAACATGTATTCTTCGTAGAACTCGTCTTCGCCTGATTCAATCCGGATGAGGTTGTTTAGGACACAGCAAGCCATCACGATCATGACTTGGGTCTTGTACGGGTAAGGAGGCATGGTTGCCAGTATCGGAAATCTCATTTTTGAGATGCCAAAGATACGTTCGATCACAATTCGAAGTGCAGAGTGGCGGTGGTTATAAAGCTCTTTGGGATTTCGAGGTGTCAAGTGGGAATCCCTCCATTCCTTGAGGTGATACCGCACCGATCGATAGGGTGTGAGAAACCCTGGTACGTTGGCGTAGCCAGCGTCGGCAACATAGAACCGATCTGGAAAGATACAGGTCAATACAAATCAATGTGAATTGGAAGGAATCAAAACGTACCTTCTGGAACTACAAATCGTTGTTCTTCAAGTGCTCGGTGAAGAACACGAGCATCGGCGTGTGAACCCTCTAAACCGGCATAAACGAAAGTAAACATCATATTGAAAGAGCATCCCGCTAGGACGTTCTGACTCAGATTTCCTTTTCGATTTCGATGGGCTGCACGTCGATCCGCAGGAACAATACAAGGAATGTGGGTGCCATCGATGGCACCCACACATTTGTCAAAGTAAGGTGTGAAGCGAGGATTATTCCTGATCTCCTTCGGACATATCTCCCCTCCGGTAGGTTGAACGATGTAAATGGATTCAAGGGAGGCGATGGCATGGCAGACAGTATTAAAATATTTGCTAATGGTATGACCAGACCTTTGAAAGCGTTCTCCAGCGACCCGATTAGAGCCGGAGTTGCCAACAATAAATAGAAATATCATGAGTTGTTCTTCAATAGTAACACTGCGCTTTTGTTGAATGACAAGCTTGCCTTCAAGGGCTTTGATTAATCCCTTGAAGGCACGCTTGTCCATTCGACACAGTTCCCGAAATCGAACATCACTGCCTTCGAGGATCTCTTTTGTATATTGATTTCCTCAAAGCTTTGATGTTCGACATGGCTTTCTCTCGGTGGTTATCGAAGCGAGATAATCTATACCGGCCTTGATGATGATCTTGAGAACCGCGATAGCCGGTCGAATAGATATGGAAGACGTGTCAGAGTCTGAATCCGATGAACTTGACATTATGAGAGCTTGGAAAGGATGGTTTGGGAGGGAGGAAGGCTCAAAGACTTTGTTCATTGCAACTCTCAAGACTTTTATGGATTTCAAAGATTCAAAACCGCCCTTAATGATCATCTAAAGCAAACGCTTCATGACCTATTTTTTCACAAATTCTCACAAAACGCGAATTTCGGGTTTTTTTTACGAAAATCACATTTCTACATGTAGAAATGAGGTCGCTCAGAATTCGACTTCACGAAATCCGGCTTAAGTGAACGCGGCCTAAGTGTCAAGTTATATTTGCTACAATCAAGAGTCAAGTTGTGTGTATTCTCCTGTTTTCTTCCTTTGGACATGGCATGGAACACCTTAGTCCCATTCTCATGTCCAAATCCCATGTGTGAAGAGTGGTGGTTTGAACATTATCAACACACTGATGAGTACTTTAATAAATACATGAGGTGACCAAACATTTGATATATTTCAACTATTTCAATCCTTTGGATCAGAAAGTATGAATTGTGAAATTCATTATTTGGACAATGATATCAAAATTGCCAACCAATCAGTTTGCAGATCTTCTTGATGTCTGCTGGATTTGACCTGCCAAAATCAATAATACAGGCATTGAACAGAAAGTGGGCATTTAGGGTACACAAATATTGTTCTGTCAAATTCCAGAATGCCAGAACCCTTTGGGCAGGTTTCTGGTGTTCTGGAAAAAAAAAAACTTTCTGCTACAGGCCCCGCAAATGAACCGGGGCATTCAAAGTTCCAGAACGCCAGAACGCCAGAATGCCAGAATGCCAGAACACACCAAAAAAATAGGGGGCTACTAAAAAGTGCCCGCAAATAAAACCTGAGACCGCCCGCTTTTAGAATCCGATGATTACTAAAAATGTTTGACTGAATTGTGGTTCACTCCCAAGGTAATAATTTGTAAGAAATCACACGGAAAGCGGGCGGTCTTGAAAATTATCAAAAACCCTACAAAACCTCCCGCTACATACCCACATCTCATCCTTCATATCAATCGTTTATCTCAACTGGATTGTGCAGCTAAACTCAAAAGACATTCAAAGCACTGAACACAATCAGACCCTCTCAGCACCCCCTCAGGCTTGACTACATATCCTCTGTCAATGAGGCCAGAAGCCTGACAGGATTCAAGGCTCTATTTGAAGGGTTCCCCAGAGTTTGATGGCTTCACTTGGTCCGGCCAAAGTCTCAAAGGTTGAGGCTAGAATCAACATCACTTGGATTCAAAACAGTTTTGTGGATTTCAGGGGTTTATTGCAAATTTGCATAGCCTGTAAGTTGAATAACGAGTGGTAAAAAACCTTTCAAACCAATGCAAGACACATCTTATTGCATTCCCGAATTTCTTTGCTTCAACAAGCAAGACATGTATGCAATGAATGCCAAGAAGTTTGTGGTGTTTGAAGCGAGAGAGGAAAAATAAACAAGTGCTAATCAATCATAGATTGACCGACTATTTTTGTGACTTTATCCAACTCTTGGATTAGCAACAGGCAGATCAAGGTCTTCAAAGACCAATCACATTGCCAACTTGGGTAAAAGAGACTGGCAGACAGAGGGGCAGTTCTAGCCTCATTGAGTTTGAATCTAGCCAAGTAAAAGCTGTTTGTGAGTGTACTCGTGTACTCAAGATCGCTTATCTCAACACCAGCCCATCAGCCAGAGGTTTATAATTATGGTATAGAGCTTGGTTAGAAAACAAGAAGAAACACAACAACTTGCTATCCTGGTTGTGAGATGTGGGTAGCGGGAGCCGGAGCAGGAGGTCTTGAAGGGTTTTCAATAATTTTCAAGACCGCCCGCTTTCCGTGTGATTTCTTACAAATTATTACCTCGGGACTGAACCACAATTCAGTCAAACATTTTTAGTAATCATCGGATTCTAAAAGCGGGCGGTCTCAGGTTTTATTTGCGGGCACTTTTTAGTAGCCCCCAAAAAATACTTCTGGTGTTCTGGAAACAGTGTTCTGGAAATTGCCAGAACAATATCTGTGTATCACAATTGAATGTAAGTTTTGCATTGGAATGATTTCCAAGCTTGGATTTTTGGAAGTTTTTGTTTGTAAATTTCAATATTCAGGGTATAAGTCAATAATTTTGAGACCTCCTTGTTCCAACACCATTTTTTGTGGACATTCAAAAAGACAAAATGGCTGCAAAATCAAAAATTGTCCTCACTATGTAAAATGAATTTTACAGATATTGTGTTTGAAACCCTTGAGTTCTGCAAACAGATCATTAGCCGTGCTCAAAGTTGACCTGGTTACGAAAAACCTGGTTGACCCAGTTGACTTTTTGGCTGTGAGCTGTCAACAAATGTCAACTTGATTCACAAAGTTACCGCCAAAAAGCAACTGGGTCAACTGGGTTTTCTTGAAACCAGGTCAACTTTGAGCACAGCTATTGCAAAATTCTATGGTCACCTAAACAAATTGCCTATAGTGGGTAGTGTCTAAAAGTGTGTAATGTCGGGCTGGCCAGAAAGCTGATTTATCAAAAACTCCATTGGATGAAAAGAACTTTCTATGCTGTAAAAATTGTTAAAAACACTATGTTCAATACATTCTTGGATTCCTATCAATGTGAGGATTCCAAATCTGCCCTTGGCTTCAGAATTGGGTCAATGTTGTGGGCTTCATGGACTTTTTTTTCTCAAAATACCTGATTTCACGCGTTTAGGCACTACCCACCATAGATGCTTTTTTTGAAAATTTAGGTGTCAAAACACAGCACTTAAACATGCAGGCACATTTTTTGACAGTGCCTACAATTTGGGAATGTGGGTGGGATTTAGCAAGATCTCTCTAGGTGTTGCCTTAGCATGATCCACAAGTGTTTTGGCTCATAAAAGTCAATAGTTTCACATTCAACTAAACCAAATAAAAAATTGATAATCAAGAAAAATTGTATGTAATTATTCACAACCATTGTTTGAAATTCATAAGAGGTACAAAACCTTGACAAAGAAAACTTTTTTGCAGATTTCAGTCTTTTTTGATACTCCTATAAAGCTCTCATTTCCCAATGTGCTGATAAGAAATTCCTACAATAGTTTTTTTGATGAAAATGAAGTCTTTGATTCTTGTGTCAATGTACAGATTTTTATGTTTCATTGGATACAGACTCAAAAACTGCAGTCAAGGCTCCCTTTCAGGAGAATCATTGTTATTTATATGAGAACACTCAAAATTAGGTTCTCTTTATGAGAATAATTGCATTGTTTTTGTTTTGAAGGGGAGACACATCACTAGAACCAATGAATGAGAGGAGTAGCATCTCGAGACCTCAAAAGCTTCTGAAGTATTTTGAAATCACTCTGATTTGTATCAAATGAGTGGGTCCAGTTTATTAAAAGTGACTGGACAAGCCTTGCAGAGATAACATTTTTATAGGAAGCCCTCATAACAGTGTGGAAGGATTTAGCAACAAATTTCATCTCTGGGCTCAGTTTCTGATGTGTTCCAAATTTTGAAAGCCCTGCTTCAAGGAAAAGATTTTCTAATGGAATGGATTTCCATGAGGAGAAATGCTGTTTTAAAAAGTTCCATCCATTTATAAGGATTGGCTGAATATTCCATTCCGAATTTTTTATCTCATTCAAACACTTGATTACTCCAAAGAATCCTTCTACAACATTTAGTTTTACCACTTTGATGGCATTGGTCAAACATCTTTGGCAATTGATGAAAGCTTCACTTGGAATGTTCTTTTGCTCAATGATCAATTTGTTCAACAGATCAACTTCCAAGCCTTGGAAAAAAATTGCTTTGTCCTTGAATATATGATTAAAGAAATCCATACAACTTTTTCCTTTCATTACAATATGATGCTTAATCTGGTATGCTTTTGCATCATAGGAAGCCCGACCAGTCTTTGGATTTTTCTTTGAGCCACTGGATGAGGTTTGCTCCACTTTCCTGTGGGGTAAAGTGAGTCTGTAAAGGACCTTGCGGAATGCACCCAGTGAAACATGGGGAGTCAAAGGGGCCTTCTGAGCCTTCCACTTAGTCCAAATGTTGTGATATAGTTCTATATATAAGTCACCTCTTCTATTAGCCTGAGTCACAGAAAGAAACACTTCCAGGGGGTCGGAGGAGATGTCGATTTCGGAGATCTTTGGCAAACAGGGTAAATTCTGGATGATTAAAGAAGACATATCATTCACATAATTTTCAATGAACTCTAACCCTTCATGCAATATATTTTCTCCAGCACTATTCACTTCTATGTGAGACTCAATCAAATTTAACAGACCAAGGAATCCCATCACAACCCCATCATTTACCTTCTTTAGGGCATTCAACAGTTGTCGTGCGCTTAGCTTACTTGGATTACCAGGATTATATGTACCACGGATGATCTGCACCAGCCGTCCTTTCCATTTCTTGAACCATGTTTGGTTTTGCAAATATAATTCTTCACATGACTGTATGCTCTTCATGCCCACATCTTGAATCACTTGTATCATATCCCTACGCGATATACCCCCGCGTCTGTCTGAACTATCACTATGCATATTGACAAATTTAATCAATCTAGATTCATATGAGGGATCATCAGCATAATCTTGTGCTGATTCCCTACAAATCTTTTTTTGCTCCTCATCCAGTCTCATTGTGACAATACTTGATGCTTTTCTTTTCAATGATTTTTGTGCTTTCCCAGAATATTCCTCCTGAACTTCAATTAAATTATCAACACCCATGTGAATATCTCTTGAGCTTTGAATTTGTGTTGGATTACCAGCCAATTTTCTGAGTGTAATTTTCCCTATGTCCTTCTCTTTGTGAGGGTCGTCAAATTGATTTTCATAGCCTTCACTACCCCATCCATTGGTTTTCTCATTGGAACCTTGGGGTTCATAAAGATGGTGGTCAAATACTGCAGATGATCCTTCAAGTTCCTTTCTATGTTGTGGTATCTTGAATTCTAAACTCTGTACCATTTGATCCTGTAATGGATTTGGTGAAATGATGTTGGAATTATCCTTTCCAAAGAACCCTGTCAGGTCAAGTTCTGTGCCAATTCTTGGTGTCATTATTTGATTTGAATTGCTTGTTAAATAATTGGGAACCCCTGTTGCTGAAAATATGTCAATATAATTGGGAGAATGAGGTATATTGTGGGCAGAGATGTAAGGTGTTAGATTGCCATATGCTGAAATGGATTCAGACTCCCCAGGTTTATTTTTTGAATCCAAGAAGTACGAGCCCCCAATTTCCCCACCATTTGGTTTCTCCCTGAAAATTTGAGATTTGTCTGAATGATGGTCAAGCAATGTGTACATTTCTTTCAGTATACCTTTCAACTGTGGGTTTTCAACTTCTGAGTTTCCCTTCTGTGGAATTTGATGCTCTGAAATAATTGGTACATAATTTTTGTATTCACACTTTTCTAAGGACTCAGGAGCTCCAGGATTTCTGGTAAAATCTGTGGGAGACATGATTTCTGAAAATAGGTTTTTTTGTGAATATGGAATATGGTTATCATGTGTGAAGGGTGGTAGTTCAATGTGTTCTAAAATTGATTCAGGAATGTCCATGTTGTTGGAGATTAAAGATGTTGAGCATTCAGAACCCCTTCCAATTGCATTTTTGTTGAAAACTTGTGCTTCTTGTGCAGGGTGGTCACCCAACTCAGGGGAACAATTGAGGATGCATTTGGATTGGGGTACACCATAAGAATAGTTCATTTTATGAGCGGTTTGTTTATAAGATGGGATTTGTCCATTTACTTGATATTTGTTGTCTTGGAAGACTTTGGTCAGCCTACTGTGTGGCCCTGGTAGTAGTACTACTTCATGATTTAAATTGCTTGGTGTGTGTTTGAGAGATTGATTTTCTGAGACCAGATGATTGTAATTGGGGAACTCTCTCATAATGTTGTCTGCTGTATCACAACTAATGTTGCTTCCTTCTGATCTGTATCCAGGGTGTTCAAAGCTTTGATGTGGCATATGAATTGGTAAATGGCTCATTGATTTGTACTCATGGACTTGGGGATTGTATTTGGTGAAGCTATCCATGGACATGATAGGACTATTGCTAGGCTTACAAAACATTTCTTCTAGTGAATTATCATCTATTACTGAGTCATACCACATTTGAGACCAATTTGTATCGTGATCATGGAAAGGGAGTCCAAGTGTTGCTTCTTGGTGTGATCCAGTCTTACATTCAATACTTCCCAAGTTTTTGTTTGCAGTAAGTTCATGTATTGAAGCCTGATTACTTTCAATATTTTCTAAATATGCTGTGGGGTTTTGCAGGAGATTAGCATCAATTTCCCCATAAGGTAGTTCTTCATGCTCTAACACCCCATAAACTTCAGGATGAATAGACGGACTAAAATCAATTGAAGCATGTTCACTACCTGTGTGAAATGAAGGCACTTCAAATGCATGGATTCTGTGATCTTCTTTGGTTAAGTTTTCTGAAGATGTCTGAAACATGACTTCCAATGACCAAGCCTGTTTATTTGTAGAAAACAGAATCAGTCCAAGTGTAAAAGAAATCCCATGAACAAGGTGCCTATCAATTCCTTTCTTGCTGATGAAATTCAAGTGCATTGTTCAAGATGATGGTTTTGAATGAAGTGGGATATATAGAGAGATTATCCTATAACCATAGATTTGATGTGGTTCAAGTTTTGAGGAGAATTTCTTTCAGATTTGTAGAGAATTTATAACTTAGATCTTATATCCTCTTAGTTAAAATAAAAAATCACACTGTGTCATTGCCTACTTCCAAAACACAAAGCAAGTTTCATGGAGAAATGACTGATCAATGCTACAAACATGAGACACAAGCTTTTCTGAACCATGTAGTGAGAAGATATTGATCTAAACCTCTGACACCAGTTTAGGTAAGCACACTTCTCTTGAAACTCAAAGGCTCATATGTCATGTAACCCTTAAACTACAATTCAGAGGGATGCATGAATTTCATTTTGGCTGAAACCTGATTTTCTCTCTCTTATGCCCAGACATGTCAGACCAGTATTTTCACTTCTTTGTAATCATCTACATAGGAAAGCCTCCTATCCAACTATATCTGTCTACTTTCTATACCAGTCCACACTAGGAAAAGAAAGCTTGATCTCTCTGCCCCTAGATAGACCAGCATACATATCCATACCCACACCCAAATAAAATGCCCCATAATCTCAGAGTGGCACCTCTCATCATATTTTTTTGCCCACCGTTTGGAAGAACAGAAGACACTGAGTTTGATGACCATCCATCAGCAAAAATAACAATGAAATACCTCTTTGGACTTCAGGCTTGGCACTTATTTCATAACACAAAGTACCCCACTGCCAACATACTTGCCTTGGCTTGAGAAATCCAAGGCATCATTGGATGAAAATACTTGAATAAGTCCTGTCTGAGGTCTCAATCCGAAAAAATCTTATGTGCCATGATATGGCTCGGATCAAATCCTTGAACAAGAAATGTCCAAGGGTTTAGACCCGAGAATACCTCGGATTCATAGATCCGAGATGAAAATGTTGGCAGTGCCCTCAATGAACAAAGGGTATTGTAAAGGTCATATTGCAAGCCTTGGAGAAAGCTGATGCGGTAATTCCCCAAAAACAGAAGAAACTAGTGGTGATGATATTCCATCTATTAGTGTTGTACCATAGATTGAACAAAGGCTCATCACACTACAAAAAAAAAAAAGTTTTCTGGGTGGATTAGGTAAATATATTTGAGCAAAAAATTGTACCCGGATTATGCAAATGTGCAAATTAGTCAAATACGGACTCAAATTAGGTGACTCCAGAGGATTCCCAATCCAGGTTTTCCTCTGAAAACATAAATTTTTTACAAGATGAGACAGAATCATGTTTCTTCTCCTGTTGGATTCTCTAAACACCTCAAACACTGCTATGAATGAATTGAAAAAACAAATCCTTGACCAGATATTTCTCCTATCCCTTCTTGGAAAACTCAAATATAAGTATTGGGCTCACTCTATTTTGTGAATTGAGCAGCTGCAGACATAGTAATACAACACAAATAGGATCTCTTCCCCAAATTTGATTGAATGATCCTCAAGGTACCATAATTCCACAAGATAATCTAATATCAGATTAAAAAACATCCTGATGCCTCAATACTTATTGCTTCAAAGCCTTGATTCACATATCATGCTACACAAAACATGAATACATAACTTGAATTTCTGAATTCGCAGCACACAATACTTAATACATATATCTTTGTCACGAAGCTGTGTAGAGGAAGAGAAACTAAAAACATGATTTTGGAAACATAATCCTGACTTCAAGAAACTTAAAAAACATTTATAGGTGATTTCGTGTTGTGCTGATTGCAAGAAACATTTACTATGTTGGCTGTTACTGAATCATGTAAAATAACAATAGATTGACGAAGCAGAATATTGTCAAGCAGTATCGAGTCAATGGTTAGAAATTTTCACATCCACCACAAGAAATAGAATTACATACCTTATCTGTTTCGTCTTCTTGGACCAGGTCTGCAATTATCCAGTAGTGATACCCTTCAACCAAATCTTCTTCTTTTGCAAGTTTGGGTTCGTCCATTACAAATTTACGGTACAAAGCTTTATAATGTGATATTTTCAAGACTGGGCAGTTGACAAATACCTCGGGGTGGTGAGCTTGTAGCGCGTGTCTTATTTGATGAGTAGTAAGTTTGTCAAGCCTGTTTGATGAAACGATGTTGGGCTTTCTAGTGTATGTGCTTTTCTTGAGACCTGCGAGATACGGGTTGACATAATGCTTGTAGAGAGCTAAAACCTCGTCCTTTAATGCAACAGAAGATATACTAACTCGAGAGCTTTGAGATCTGATTGCGTCAGAGAGCATTGCAACAGTGGTTTGGCGGTCGAGTGGATCAAAGTCTATATCTTCTTGGTCGGTTTCCATTTGAGATGAGAGCGGAGCTGGTGGCGGAATGCAGAAAGGTGCAAGCTGAGGTAGCAATTCCGTCTTGAACATGTCAATCAAGATTTTCTTGAGTTTAGTTGGACGTGCCTTTGTGTTGGGGTTGAAATGCAGTAAGACGTTATAATATTTAAGGCTAGTGAGATTGTACGTATCGTTTGACTCCCAATCGTGGCATAGGAACGGGTGTAAAGAGTCGTGGAGGGTCTTAACTTTAGCGTATAGTGGATGTTGAGTCAGTGGAATAGAGTTTGCAAAGAATGTGGTTTTGTCACTAGAATTTAAGGGTGGTTCAGAAGTAGGATTCGGAGTTGGTGACAGTGTGTTTCCTCCCGGAAAGCTAGTAGATTGCCCTGGTATGAACTTGGGCCTGCCGCCGGGTGATGTTATATGTCCAGTGACCGATATGAGATCCGGCTTGCCTTCTTGACTACTTTTACCACTTGTGGTCAGGGAAGGCTTTATATTAGTAGGTCGTTTTGAGGTACTCGGCATCTTCGAACGCAGAAAAATGATGATAAGTTGAAGGTATTCTCCTCAAAGATCTGTAACAATTCGACGTGATTTGGTAATCATGAGCCAGAAAATCATCAATTTTCAAAGCAATTCAAAAGTTGAACTACTTACTTCAAGAGTACAGTGCGTAAGATTCAAAGGAACCTGACTAGTTAGACCAAGGTTCAGATAAGAGACAATTGTCGATCAAGAAACGTTGTATAGCACAGATTATCAATGGAAAATGCGGGTAAGCCAGTTGGATGATAAGGTAGCCAGAAGATAGATGACTAGAGAAAAAATCAGTGATGCTGAATTAGATAGAATTCGCTGGTAAAGGTGATCTCCGAAAGCGATTTGATGGACAGGGATAGAAGGGGATTTGAAAAGTTTGGACCAATTTACAATCAACATAAAAACCTGCAGAAGGAAAGTGGGGAGATATTAATTACCTACATGTATACGCTTTTTAAGTGGGAAATACGGAGGGTCATCGAGAAATGGAAGGTACAACACTTGCCTTTGTCTTTATGATGTATAATCATCATGGGAAGTAGTAACTACATCCCTTAAACTTTTTTGCAACAAATCCACCTCTTGTTTATTCGAAGCAACACCCAGCGCTCCGTTTTTCATTTGTATCATCTGTATATATTACGCCATGATCTGGTTGCAAAGCTTGGTCAACCCCAGTGTTGTACATATCAAGTCAAACCACACTGCTTGTTAAAGTCCTCCTTTATAGATACATAGTGACTTGTATCAGTTATTTCTTACAAGAGGGTTGTACCAATTAAGATACAAGTGCTCGAGTATAGAAACACTTGGAACTCAATGGGACAGATATGAAAAAAGAGTCGTAAAGATTTCATTCAATATTAGTAACAAAACAGATATCTCACTTTGCTAATTCGTGATCAGGCTCCTCTGATTTTATCTATAATTGAGAAGTCCACCCTGTTTAAAAACCAGAAAAACCAAACAGAAAGAAACAAAAAATTGACATTGACGCTCTGTTTTCACATGATCTGTTTCATTCATTTAACCCACACGTAAGAAATGAGTGATTGAAACTTATCTCAACAAAGAATAAAAAGGACCAAATTCTTTTTTCTCAATCACAAATGATACTTTTGAATAGAAATGAAATTTTCTTTTCTTTGAAATATTCTCTTCATCTTTTTAATACCACAAAATGATAAGAAAGAAAAGAGGATTATGAAATATTATGGAATGGTGAAAAATTGAACATGCACATGAATAGAAAATAATTAAGAGGATCAAACATAAGACTTGGATAATCAAGAAAAATCATGTCACTCCTTAGGTACCCGCTTTACTAACCTATGTTGATGATCATACTCAGCTGGTCAGATGATTACAGAAAACTATTTACCTTGGCTGTGAAGAGTTTCATAATATCGAACTAATCACATAGAGTAGTGATCAGAATAAGAAAGAGGTAATGATAGCTACTTCTCATTACCGTCTTGTACCACACTAAAAATTGTTCATTAGAAAGATATATACTATTTATATCACCACAAAACATTGATCGAGCCTTTGCCTTGAAGCAAGTTGAGCTCAGCTTTTATGACCTCGGCTGCTATGTTTGCTCCTCTTTTAGTTGACCTTCACACTAAAAGTAGTTGTTAATAAAAGCTACATCCATGTGGACCAAACAGAAAGGCGATCGGGGTTTTACAAATAGGAGCAAGTGAAGACAAGATTTAGCATCCAGAAAACATTTGACAAGAGAAAACCTTACAGTTTTCTTGGATCGACTTGACTGAAGACGTCTTTGTCAAATTTCTTGAAAGCAGGGGTTGAACATCCTTAACTACCCTTCCTTGCGTACTTACAGTGCAACCATTGAGTCTTCCTATCTTTTCAGTTCTTCAAACAAAGGTGTTCTGAGTTGAATTCGACACACAATTGAAGTTGAATGAAGATGATTGACGACATGATTGTAAAATCTAGGTGATTGGGACACAATGGACGAAGTTTGAATTTGAAGATTGATTGATCAAGTTATACATGAGATTGGTTTGAGTAGGCTGTCAAAATGAAAGTGGATAGAGTCAGACTTCCGATTTGAAAAAATTGTAAAGTGACTCAGAAAGAAAACGCACGTGGTGGGTT